TGGCCGCGAGGTCGGCATCTCCTGGTAACGTCTCGTCTCCAGGCTTCGAGTTCGACCGCTGGCTGAACACCCCAGGCTGGCCACCGTACCTCCCGGACCTGTCCCCCGGGGACGCGCTCATGAAGCCTGCGGAGGAGCTGGCCCAGCTGTGGGCGGCCCCGGAGCTGGACATGCCGGCCATTGAGGCCGTGGCCATCGGCTCCTGGAAGACCTACCAGCTGGTGTACTTCCTGGACAAGGTCCTCCAGAAGTCCCCTCTGCCGCCCGGTGAGAAAGGGGGTGATTTCTCCCCCCCCCCAAATATATTTTTATTGATTTCAGAGAGAGGGAGGGAGAGATAGACACCTCAATGATGAGAGAGAATCATGGATCGGCTGCCTCCTGCACGCCCCACACAGGGGACAGAGCCGGCAACCCAGGCATGTGCCCTGACCGGGAATCGAACCGCGACCTCCTGGCTCCTAGGTCAACGCTCAGCCACGGAGCCACGCCGGCCGGGCATCATTGATGTTTCTCTCTCCCTCTCCCTTCCTCTCTGAAATCAATAAAAAATATACATAAAAAAGATGAGTAATAAAAAGTGATTATTTAGAAAGATACCGACCCCTGTCTTTTCCAGGGAACGTGAAGAAGCTGGGGGAGCTGTACCCGAAGATCTCGGGCGCCCGCAACGCAGAGCTGCGGCTGCGGTGGGGCCAGATCGTCCTTCGGAACGACCTCCAGGAGGACTTCGGGAAGGTCAAGGACTTCCTGCAGAGCCAGGTGGGTACCGCGCCCCCAGGCCCACAGCCCGCAGCTCCGGGGCCTCACCCTTCCCTGGAGCAGCGGGAGGGGCGGAGAGCGAGCGGGGAGGGTCTGCCCACAGCCCCTCGGGAGGGAGGCCCAAGGGCAAGGAGGTGAGTGATCCAGAGGCTGTGGTCCCAATGCCCCTGGGGTGAGGAGGGGGGTGGGTGGCTGTGGCAGGGGCAGGTTCAGACCCTGCTGCATCCCAGGTCCCTGGGGAGCCGCCTGCTGGGCATGGGCCAGGGTCTCGGGAGCCCGAGCAGAATCCAGGGGGAGGGGCTGGCGGCAGAGCCCTCGCTAGGAGGTCCAGCCACGGAGGCTCTGCGTTCGGGGGACTCGGGAACTCACGTTGTGTGCCTTTGGGACCCGGGTTATCTTTCTTTTTTCTTTTTTCTTTTTTTGGTTCATCCTCACCCGAGGCTGTTTCCCCATTGATTTTTAGAGAGAGTGGGAGGGAAGGGGAGAGACGGAGAGAAGCATCGTGAGAGAGACACATCGATTGATTGGTTGCGTCCTGCACGCGTCCCGACCAGGGCTGGGGAGCTGCAACCAGAACCAAACCCGGGACCCTTCAGAGCGGCTGACGCTCTGTCCCCCGAGCCCGACTGGCTGGGCCGGGCCCTGGGCTGGGACCTTCTGCCCCATCTTTGCTCCGAGCCCCTGGGGAGCCCCCCTGTCCGGTCAGGTGT